GGCCCACTGTGGGCGGAGTTGACGGGAAATTTTCGCCGCAAAGTTGCCGGGAATTTGGGCATTGATTCAGGGGTTAAAGTGTTTGTCTACTCGACCCACGATGCGATTGTGGCGGTGTTGATGCACGCCCTTGGTGTTTATAATCATGAGATTATTCCCTGGGCGGCGACCCTGTTGTTTGAGTTGCACCAGACGGCCGGCGCTACTGGTGCTGAGGGTTATTTTGTTAGGTTGTATTATTATAATGAGACTTTAGTGGAGGGTAAACAACCTTATTTGTTTGAGTTACCAGGTTGTGATGGTCAGCTAGATTGTTCGCTTGATAAGTTTGAACAGTTGGCTAAACCCCTCATACCCGACGACTGGGACAGTGAGTGCAATAGTGGTGCCCAACAACTGGTGATTATTTCGTATGGTTTGTTATTATATGTGTTTTTGTTCAGATTTATTATCTAGTTATTAATTGTATTAATTTAATTAATAGTATTATTTAAAAATGTTTTAAAAAATTTAATTTAAAAAAACATTTAATTTAAACTTAATGTTATCTTCTATTTATAGATATATTTAAATTCTATTTTGCATATCAATGATAAATAAATCATTTTAACTATGACACATAATTTTTATTTACACATTTTTATTTATATGATTTCTTATTTGATCATGCTATCTATTGTTACATTATGTCAATATATAAATACAGAAATATCAATGTAAATGTTATAATGTTTACATTTAATATGTAAATAGACAATCTGCTTGATATCCAAATATAATTAATTGCAATTTGCAAAATACAATACAGAGAATTAACAGGAAATTTCCATGATTTATTTGAACATAAATCTGTGAATTATAATTACTTTTTACATTATTGAACATATCGTAATTATTCTTGCAATATGCAGAATAAAATATGCACAATAATAAATTTATGTGATATTATTACCATAAAGCTATTGACATTGAAATTGACAACTAATAGGCTATATTAGGTATAAAGGCGAGTATTATGAAGTGTATTTAATAATAAATAATCTCAATTGGTTTGGCATAATTAAAATTACATCTGATAATTAGCCGGATATTACTACTTAATGTGTAGATTATGTTTACAATAATTATGTTATTGTTCAATTTATTTAAATATGTTTGTGTAGCATAAATAGTATGCATTTATTGATTTACCTCGAGTTGTGGTCATATGTTAATAGCATATGTTTACCAGAATTAATATTTAGTGTTTAAAATAGTTTTTTAAAATTCAAAATAGATTTATTATGCTTAAAATTGAAGACGAGTGTAATTGTAAATCATACAATGTCGACCAAATTAATAATAGTAATTTTAAAAATAATAATAAGCACAATAATTCGTGGGACAAATATATCTATACGATCATATAATCAAATCAAGCAAAATTATATCATTTTTTTCATAGACATAATGTGAAATTCAAACTTATTTTTGAGCAAATTCCTGAAATAGCTATCAAGTTATTTTTGCTCCTGTTTAAGAATATGTAATCAAAATTTTTACGCTGCATGTGATTTTTAAATTATTAATGATTTGTCAATATTTCGGATTTATATTACAATATAATGTGGGGTTAGCTTCAGATAATAGTGTTTTAATAGCCGGGAATATACACTTACCTCCCGGGAGGGCCCACCATAAGTACTTACTAGACCTGTCCCGCGGGAATAGCTGTCCTCCCGCCTGGTTGTTGAAGTCCCCGTCGGTTCCCCGTCACTGGTCTGTGCTTTCCCGGCTCTCAATATTAATTATTAAACACAAATATTAATAGTAAAGTATTTATTAAGTAATATAAGCACAAAAAAGTATACAATAAAAGTGAATACAAAAAGTTGTGTAACTTTGATGGTAGAGCTGTAATAATCTAATTGCCAGTGCTGGGAAATGGGCTCTGATTTTATACCCAGTCCTCCTGCTCTGGAATGTGGCAAACAGTGCGCGAATAGGGTGAGATAAATTCACGGGAGGTTAGCACTTGGGCTTCGTTTACATGGGTTTCTACAAGTTGCATAAGTTTCAATGGGCGGGATTGCATGCATAATACTCTAATATGATCTCAAAATACACAACTTTTGCAAAAAAATTTACTATAATACAAAAACTACACACAGCACAAAAATTGTGATTACATATTTTTAAACAGGAGCAAAAATAACTTGATATCTATTTCAGGAATTTGCTCAAAAATAAGTTAGAATTTAACATTATGTCTATGGAACATATGATAAAATTTTGCTTGATTGGGTATTATTCTTAAATTAGGAAGTCCAGCATATTGACCATATCACAACAAAAACTCCAGCAGTTGGTGAGTATTTTAATATATTGTTTGAATTTTTAGACCGAATACCTTTCGAGACATTCGACTTTATAATGTTATAGTTCAATAAAAAAAAACACCCTGTATACGTTTTATTAAAAATAATTTCATTACTTTTTTGTCATTATATGGTATATGCCTATTATGATTAGTAGCGTACATAAATATCCACATAAACAGTAGTGTACATAAACATAAACTCCACTCACATCACTTATAATTGCAGTTACATAAATGACTAAATTACTGAAATAAAAACTGTTCAAAATATTTAATGCACAATTATTGGCATCTATTTCATGTAGGCTTGTATTTTTGAAGCGACTACGTGTTTTCTATACTTTATGTTATGTTTATGTTTGAAAAATATTTTTATTTTAGTCATTAAATTAATTGTGTGTTATTAATTTATTTGCTTAAATATTTAGAAATTTAATTAAAAATAAATGGCTTCACATATGAGTACACATTATAGGTTCGTTTTGTTGATTGATTAACACTGTTTTGTAGCCATTCACGTCAACAATGAATTGACTGCCAGTTTTTGGTAGACATACAGATTTTGAAAAAATTGTTTGATTGTATTCTACGCTTTATCTCACTCTTTGGATTTTAATTTAGTTTTAAACAATGCCTTCGTCTACAACCACAGCAACGACGACGACAACAATGATCGGCAATAATGCATTCAATGACAATACGGGCCGTCATTCAGATGTGGTATATGTTATGATGAATACCACCGATGGCTTAGTGATGCAGACAATTCGTGATGACCAGCGCTCATTGGCTATGAAGCGGATTCTATCGGCGTCCTTCTATGCCTTCTCTTCGTTTCTCATAAGCGTTATCAACAAAATAGTGCTCACGAACTATAGGTCTGTCTCACTATCACTTTCAACATATTTATGTTTATAATTTGATTTTTAACAACAATGTAGCTATGAATAATGTATTTTATATTATGGTTCGGCCTCTTGCCTCTTCCCCTTAGCTCTCTTGCTTTGCTCTATAGGATTTAACATAAAATTACAACTTAAGTTAATGGCATAGGATTAACATGGGTAATGCCGAATCTATGATAAATGTTAAATTTATTGGACTAGTTTTAATTAAATAAGCAATATTTCGTCTATTATATAGGATCAATGCTAACTTAATTGATAATACCAACTCAATAGAACTCATGCTATTCCTATGGACAATGCTACGTCTATGGAAAGTGCTAATTCTATAGACACTTATTTAATGTGTAGATAATAAAAAACTGTATTTTTTAACAAAACATGAATTGTGAGTGACGTATTGCATCACTGTGTGATTCTTGTTTAAACTTGGTATTTTCTATAAAACAATTACGTTTTTCGCTATAATTTGCAAACATTTATAATAATAAACAAGTTTTATATTTATACTGTCGTGAATGTGAATCACCCACTCCTATGAATATTCTAGTAAATTATCATGATGACTTCGATGAGTTCATACACCACTCATTACTCCAATACATCATCTCATATGCATACGATATGCACACTTATATACTCATAATGTACTTACTTTTAGGTCATATACAGGGTATATAAGACCCTCACTCATGTATTATTCGCAGTCTATTATAAGTCCTCTTAGAAGATATTACTCTCTTTCTCTATAATAAAGTTATTGTTAATTGTGTACGAAGTGTACCCTTTATTGTCCACTACTTGTAGCTACGATAGTTGGTGACTGCTCGCGAATCTACTTCATAACACTAGGCGCAGTCGGTACAAATAGGTCGCCGTAACACTTGTCTCAATTTAACAATATTAATCTTCGCCATCGTTTGCCATCACTTCACACACCCGTCATCGCTATGGACATCAAAAACCTAGAGCTGGAACCATTCACCGGATCAGACGATTAGTCTATCAATACATAGCTTCCATTATTCGATGATGTCGTCCGAGAACTAAATCTCACCACAGATATAGATATAGTTATGAAACTCATGTCCTATTTATCTGGCGAAGCATTGAACTTCTACGCCATCACCATAGCCTTAGTTTACAACAAAATCACTTGGAGTGAATGCCGCCAGCGATTGGTAAAACGCTTCACTTTTTAAGATCCGTTGCAACTATCACCGCAAACATAAAAAGATGGCATCCAAAACGACTACAATAATCAGAACTGTCCGGCCGTTGCTGTAACGACCGATACAAACTCAATACCATACTGTGAGCTATACCAACTTAAAAGCAAATTCGGTATTTACTACAGCGCCGATTGTCCGTTTCAATCACGTGTTTCACCGCTGACGCCCACTCTTTGGGTCCGGGAAGACTACATGGTATCAATGGCTTACCGAAGCGAGACATCACATGCATTTCCCACCGATTGGGCAGACGACTTAAACACCGTTGACATACAACGAATGTTTGGCCAACGCTGGCAGACATCTCAACACAACTTTTCGCCACCAAAATCGCCGATTCCGACACCACTTCAACAAATCTCGTCGCCGATGCCTTCGGCCGAAGACATTATGTGTGTGTTCGCCGCTCGTGACACTTGTCTCATGGGAACCATACCCGACAAACACAACACTAACCGTACGAAGAATACTACTGACGCTGAAACGAGCAATACGTCAGCTCTCATCATAGACGAGGTCGTGAAGCACATGACACTCGGAAGTAAGCCCGACACCATCTCTTCGTACGCTGCATTGATAACTCTGGCCCCAAAAGCCAACAAATAGTTGCACACTTGCCACGACGTCCGTGGCCTCAATCAACCGGTTCTCGACAAAGAACTGCCCTTTCACTCGCCGTCGATAGTAATCAACTATACGACATCACATAACGTTATAGACTCTCAACGCTTCGAAGGTCTGGTTTTCTATCGGGAATCCGTTCCCGACCTTTCCTGTATCGCCGACTCCACCCTAATACTGACCACAAGTAGCCACGTCTTCGAGTGTGGCAATACGCAAGAAAATGTAACAAATACGCTCACGTAGTGTATGGCCAACACATAAAATAGAGACATATTTAACCCAAACCGCAAACTCGACCTATTGTGCGACACATTGACAAAAGACATAGAGTCTCAATACCCATCGCCTGGACTCGAGTCCACGGCCATGATCTTCACCATAACCCATTACTCCAAAGGCTTTTCGATTACCTTCGTGGTCGACAAATCGATCATTCACTGGTCAACACACTGGTCATCGCACTCGCCATCGCACTCGTCATCCGTTCCAATCCTAACGACTCGATCCAAAGACATCGAATCCAATTCAGTATCGATCACCGCTCAAATCATCGCTCAAGAATTGCCGGACAAATCCATAGAGGTTTTGAAGATAAAGTCAGGTGCAATTTACAAACACATCACTCTTCGTGTTGGAAATGAATTCAAACATAAAATAGCATCAATGCGCTCATCAATTCACAAATTGACATTTCCTTACGAAGACTCGTACCGTATCGCCTGCCCGACAACGCTCATAGACTATGGTATAGCCAACGCCTCAACTCATCGAAGCTCACTTTGCGATCACATCTCACACCCGACGCCATGTTTTCATTTAAGGGTCAGACAACAGCCTGGGGAATGTCGTGATTGTGAATCACCCACTCCTATGAATATTCCAGTCAACTATCATGATGACTTCGATGAGTTCATACATCACTCATTACTCCAATACATCACCTCATGTGCAAACGATATGCACACTTATATACTCATAATGTACTTACTTTTAGGTCATATACATGGTATATAAGATGTATTATTTGCAGTCTATTATAAGTCCTCTTCGAAGGCATTACTTTCTTTCTCTCTAATAAAGTTATTGTTAATTGTGTACGAAGTGTACCCTTTATTGTCCACTACTTGTGGCTACGATAGTTGGTGACCGCTCGCAAATTTACTTCATAACAATCTTAAATGAAATAACAGTAAATGTAACTTGTATTGCAGATTCCCATCGTATCATATGCTAGGAATGGGACAAATGATGGTCACAATAATTATATTACGCATAGGGAAATTACTATACCTTATAAATTATCCCAACTATACGACGAATACTTATTTAAAAGTATGTATAAATTGTTTATTGCAACAATTCTTTCTGCCAATTTTACATTACTGTATTACTATTTAAACATTAAATGTTTTATTACACGATTATTCGATATATAATTTAATTTAAAACGCTATATTGTAAACGCAACCAAATGTGTATTTTTGGTAATGTGTTTGTGTTATAAATAATGCATTGATTTTGAAATAATGTATGTTTTCACAATGTTTTAATCAATGGATCGGTGGTATAGATATGGCCGCTGCCAGTGCTCTACATCGGGAACCTGGTGTGCGGTTTGGGCGGCACTAAACATCTGAGTCTTCCAATGTTCACAGTTTTGCGGAGATTTACTATTTTAATGACTTTCATTGGAGAGTACTATATCCTCAAGTGAGCCAACAATTGTCTTCATATCTAATTACACTTCATTAGCAATTTTTAGCATTTACTACAATTTGGTTAAATTTCCATTCATTATCTCTCACATGATTTTTATGTGGTTTTTAACTTTTTCTTACGTTAACTGATAGTGTCGTTCAAAACAAAGCAATCATAATAACTATCGTGGCTATGGTTGGCGGCGCTATGATTGCAGCCAGGTTTGCATCCCTGTCCTCTCAATCCCTATTACTTACTTTCTAATAAAATAATAATATAAAACATTTTATTTCTCTTTTTTATTATAATTTAAAGCAATGACTTAGCCTTCGATGCGAGCGGTTATGCGTTTGTCATAAGCAACGACTTGTTCACTGCTGCCAATGGCGTCTGTATGAAAAAGAAACTTAATTCCAGAGTACGTCATTATTATAATTGTTATTATTTTCCGAGACCAACGCAGGCTGGCGCAGTGGTAGCGCGCCGGCCCTTGCACCCTGATGTAGCGTGTTCGAGTCTGTGCCAGGCCATTGATATTTTCCATAAATATGGAACTGATTGTTGCGGACTGCAACACTCGTCCCCAACAATGTCCATTGTGTTAATTTTTAAACTCATTATATTTAAATTTAATTAACAAACTTATATTTAATGAAGTTTTAAAATTCATTTTAAACATTCAATTAATTTAAACATAAAATACATGTATAGACTTAGCATTATCAATGTTATCCCTATGCTATAAACTTCGCATTACCCATGTTAAAGTATAGCGATAGACTTATGCTGTAATCCCATGTTAAATCCCATATGATGGGGGGCTGGGGGAGGGGGTAGCCGAACGATATTATATACATTATTCATACTGAATTGTTATAATTATAATAGAAATACATATCAATTTATAGGAATTGGGAAAATATGGTCTCCTATATTACAACTCTCTGGTTATGATAATACCAATGCTATTGATTTCGTGGACAAGCGGTGATATAAATACGATAACTGAATTCAATGATTGGTTTGATGCGGGATTTTTAGCATCATTTATAACATCATGTGTTATGGGATTTATTCTCATGTATTCCACTGTATTGTGCACTGCATTCAACTCAGCGCTCACCACAACAATCGTCGGCTGTTTGAAGGTATGGCTGACTGAGTATTGCTATGGCGTTGACATAACTATAACACTAATTATCTACAAACTATACATTTATGCACAGAATATATTCGTCACATACATAGGGATGTATATCGGAGGCGATTACGTGTTCTCGTGGACCAACTTTATTGGTCTCAATATATCAATGATTGCAAGTCTAGTCTATTCATACTTTACATTCATTCACAAATAAAACCGTTGCCTTAAAACTATATCCGTTGTAAAAATCATTGTTTTTTGTTTAATTTTTGCTCTGTTTTTTGGGCAAGAATTTGTTATGTTTTTATTTAGTCATTATATTGTTATGAGTTTATTATATTGATATCATTATAAATACATTATGTATTGAAAATATATAAAAAATTTAATGAAACTGTATTTTCTAATTAACATTCCGTACAAAATATTGAATTATTTTAGTTGAGCGGTTCGGGCGAAGCGGTTGTGGAGAAAATGCGAGTTTTATTATGTGAAGTAACCGCTGAAAGCTCTGGCGATTGAGTCTCCGTTACGAAAACATTGTACACGTATTTGCACATATGGTTAGTTAGTTTTATTTAAAGGTTTTAATTATATTAATACATAGACATGATTTATTTATTTTATGTTATAAAATTTACAACAAATTTTTGATTTAAAAATATGTAATATTGATTATTATTATTTACAATGCTCATTGCAATGTTTTTATGAACATGCATTGAGTTAAGTGTTACTAACTTGTAAGTGTTAAATATTGTATATTGATAAAATGGAATTAATAAAATATTAATAAAAATTTTTTAAAATAAATTCACTTAATTAATTGTGTTATAATTACACAGATTACAAAAAAATCAATTGGAAGGCAACAATATTATTGGTCAACATGTATCGGGACAAGCGGTATATATGCAAAATATATGTTTAATTAAGCAATATTTATGATATATACTTATTTACTCAGAACACACTCCCGTTCCCAGTCATCGGATGTCAAGTCTGTAGTCAAAATAAAAAACTTATCGATGGGACAGTCGGTGAGACCATCGCATTGGGGCAGTGATAAGACGTGCGGCGGTTTAGTCGCGTCCATATTCTCATTATAGTAATACATACGTACAAAATAGCCGTCATTATTAGTATTAGTCAGATTTATAGCACCCGTATCTGGTCCTAGCTTTTGATGCAACTCCAACAACAGTGAGGCCCCGTAGGGAACCAAACGGCCATTCCATACGTCCAGTGCATGCAATAGTGGGGCCACATTCATGTCGTGGGTTGAGTACAGATACAGTTTATGTGTGTATTTCGTACGCGAAGTGCCGTTCATTTTGAACCGCATATTGTCCGCCAGTTCGCCGACCATAGGACCGGCCCTTAGCCCAAGCAGCTTCGGGTTTGACCACTTATTATCCCATAAGTACATGTTTAACGGCAACAGGCGGTCCAATATTTGGTGGTCCGCCTCCGGAGGCCATACCTCGTGAGCGGACCAAGTTATTCAAGAGTTTTATTGATATTACCGGGTCGGTATCACTCAATGGTACGACCGATTCCCGTATAAAGTGCTTAAATGATTACATAATTGCTGTTAAATTTTACAGTTATAACGTTGAATAGCGATAATAAGCGATTAATTATATAAATATAAGGCGTTAATTATGGAGAGTAACAGAATATTAAATTCAAGATTATTTATACAATTCTATAATTCATAAGAATAGTTGTATTTATACTATATATTAGGCGAGAGGTGTCAGTAGTGATGAAATCGGTGTTTTCGTTGTCTTTACACATACCGTGTCCGGTGGTGTTCGGCTTCGCGATACCGTTTTAGTTGAGGACAGGTATCGGCCATGGCGTTGTGGTCAGTCTTTATGGTGTTGTTCTTAGTCTTTGCCTTAATTGCTGAGCAAAGGACACAGTGAGCGGACCAGCGATAGCCCCGTTGATACTCAACCCATAGTGTATCGTATAGGGCGAGAATAACATCCAGGCTATTTAACTCTACGCCTACTTTGCCGCCCAAGTAGACTAAAAACTCCCGATTCTTGTTTACTAAACTACGGACACCTTCCGACTCGCGGAACAGGCGCTCCAGTTTTTGAGCGCGGGGACAGTTGGTCACTGGTCTCAGCAACATATCGTTGTTAATCAACTCCAAATGGATAGGTGTAGACCGGGAACGGCTGCCATAAGTAGCCCAATAGAGGACTCACACCGTTAGACCACTGCCACCGCGGCTGACGGTTGACCGGATAGGCGCCCGACCCTATCATCTGCACCGACTCGAGGCACCGGCTTTGAGCCGAACTCCGGACGTAGACTTCGCGAGGGCTATAGTCCGGGCCCAGGTTTGAGTGGTAGTGACGGCGCAGGTATTGACCCAAACGGTACATACGGTATTTGCCCCGTAGGGTGAGTTCGCCGGTGCCTTCCGGCCAGTACTCGGTTTTGTTACGGTACGGATCGTTGGGGGAACAGTCTCGATGGCCCGTTCCCCGTGTCTGTGCACCACTTGCAATAGTTTCAGGGTAGATATGTCGTGATTGCGCAAGCTTTGACTAAGCACCTGGTCTTCCCTGTCCACTGTGGCCATACATATTGGTTGACATATTAGCAGTATGAGTGGTAATACTATTAAAAGCATCATGGTAATTATTAAATTGTTACTGTTTGCTTGAATCGTGTACAAAATATGGTACAAGTATTTACACCTATAAAACCTTTACACCTACTGCTGCGCTCAGTAGGTGAGACCATAGGGTATGGATTTGACATTAATGTACTTATAAAATAATATTCTCTATAATTTCAATTGCTTGCCATTTAAAATATACATATTCAATTTGAACAATCAGAGTATCAAATTGTTCATAATTAAATATTAAAACGCACACTTTATTAGATTTACAATATTATAATTTTACACTGCATGAATAAGGTAGTTATTTGTTCTAGATCGATTTATAAATGTTATGGTTAAAAAATCAAAAATTAAAAAAATTACTTTTTGTATTATTTAATTATGAACAATTTGATATACTGATTATTAAGATTGAACATGTAAATTTTAAATGGCAAGCTTTTGAAATTATGTAAATTTGATCACATTACAGCACATTACTCGTATTCACTCTGTTTACAACAAAATTCCTGATATACATCTCAAGTCATATTTTATTACAAACAATTTGGTATATAGTTTGTTAAAATTGGATAAGAACTTTTTAAGTTATCACAACTCTGAGTCTCTCATAAGAAATACATTACTGCACTTAATGCTGTCTCATTTCTTTGAGTTCAAATAATAGATTTGTTACAATTTGAAAGTATTTAATGCTTTACATTAAAAAAGCATAAAGTGTATAGATAGTCAAGGCAACAAAATATCCTTAATTACATCATAATTTAAATAAAACTTGCATTAGTTTACGCGACAAACAAAGCAGAAAATAATAATATAATAAAAAACAATATCAAATTATTTCTTAAATGAATGGCTTGACTGCAAAATGTGTTCAAATTGTGGGCCACGATCTTATTGGTCAACGCATACAATTTATCCACCGGACAGTCGGTCATACTGTCACACTTGGGTAGAGCCAGAAGATATGGGTCTTTTGCATTATGATTCTCATCTTGGGTCTCATTAAACAAATAAATTCTCACAAAATAACCCTCACTAATAGCGTTGCCATGTGTTTGATGTAATTCCATAAATATTGTGGACCCGAACGGAACAATCTGGTCATTCCATATGTTCAAAGCGTTCATAAGGGCCGCTATTTTATAGTCGTGCGTCGAGTATACGTACAACTTATGGTTATAAATTGTACGTGAAGTGCCGTTTATAGCGTGAAGTACGTTATCGACGAGTTCCTGTACCAGTGGACCGCCATAAGCTGTACGCAACGTGTCGCTCAGGTACAGTGTGCTCAATTTGTCGCGTACCATTTGTTGTAATTTATCTTGAATTCGCTGATCGTCGCCCGCGGGCCACATACCCTTATCCGCCCACAGATAGCCCCTGCGATTCTCGATGTAAAGTGTGTCCCAAAAGTTATTGACCATTTTGATATCTGCAAAATTTTTGCCAATAATTTTGCCAAGTCTATACAGAAAATCTTTCTCCCTGTTCATTATGGCCATAACCTGTTTTGACTTTAAATAGCTCAAGTTAGCTTGATTGGCTTTGGGACAGTCATAGTGTGATCGGAGTAATTTATCGTCATCTTTGCGCTCCAGAGGGTAGGTATAGACTGGAAACGGTTGCCATAATGAGCCCAACTCGGCGTCAGACTTGAGGTTCCACTTCCATCGGGCTGTATTGGGCGGATAGGCGCCGGATAGTACCAACTGTATTGACTCCAAACACCGGGGCTTCGCAGAACTGCGGGCGTATATCTCGCGCGGCGAGTAATTCGGGCCAAGATATGAGTCATAGTTTTCTCGTATATATTTGCCCACCCTGTACATACGATACTTTCCCGTTGTGGTTAGCTCGCCTCTCCCTTCGGGCCATATCGTGTGGTCCTTATCGTTGGCCAATCGGAAGGGGTCGTTAGGGAACCATTGAGTAGGATTTTTATCGCCGTGTCTGTGAACTACTTGTAAGAGTTTCAATGTCGTGATGTCGTGTCCCGACCACATGTGTACAGTCTGTACGCATAGTAAATATAACATCCATAACACAAGTGTTGGTAATAAGTATTCCATTATGTCAGTTATGCGCTCTATGAATGTATGTATAATAATTACATTGATTTTTATATGACGCGTATTATTAGTATTATGCAGAGAAGAGCATATTGACCGAGGTTAATGGGATTGCTTACACATGAACAAAATAAAGCATTTTAACATAGGGCCAAGTTCAAAAGTTTAAATTGTAAAGCCAAATTTTAATTTTTTTAATTAGTCGCAGGAGTGGTAAAAAACAGAAACGTGACATGAAGTTGTTTAGAAACGACTTTATGTAGAAATATCTTGAGACTTCCTTCAGTAGATTTTTTAATATTCCCTAATTTCGAGAGATTTCCCAACTTTTTAAGTGTTAAATTGTTACATCAAGTTAACCACTGTACCAGAGTTGAAAGTCAAAGCATTTTTCACCTTTTGACCTTTTGCTCTTGTTTGATTTTTAAAATTACACACTTAATTAAATTTAATGTAATCAAATTACACACTATTTATTAATTTTATACTAATAATTCTTGTAGTTTGTGTAGTTAATTAAAATTTATAATATTTATTTATAACACCTATGGTTGATTGGGAGTGGATTATTTTTAAAATTCTTAATTGCCCACTATTACACAAATGTAACTTTATTTAATATACCTTTAAAAAACTTATACGAATTATTTATTTCTGTTACAAAATTTATTATAATTTTTAAATGTTAGATTTAATAAGTAATGTTGATTATTATTATTAACAATGTTCATTGCAATGCTTTTTATGAAAATGAATTCAGTTAAGTGTTACAAAATATTAAATTAAAAAAATAAAATTTA